TTAGTTTTAAAATCTGCTCCATAACACCTTAAACTGACTTACAATGGCAAGTGGAGTAGGTACTGATTTGACAATATGCAATATTGCAGAATTGTCTTAGGAACCTCACACTTTGTTCAAGGGGCTGCCTTCCTTACCTGGCCAACCGATCTTGTTAAAACAGATGTCAGCACTTCGGAGTTTTCAGAAAAAGCAAGTCCCAGACTTTATTTCCCAGGGTCATATAAATCCTGTTTTTAATTTTCTACCTACTATGTTTTGGCATCTTATTTCTGGCTGGGGAGGAAGTGCCCCTCCCAGGGGGAGCCCTTTCTTAGAGATAAGGAAGCATCCAGCCTGGACCAGGTCTTTAAAATGCAAATGAACCCACCGAGGGCCACAGTATCTCTGTCTGGTCTTTATGACTCAGGAGACCCAGGGCCAGGTAGTAGCTAGGGGCCACCCTATAGCCAGCTGCCACAATTACTCAGACTAGCCAGTCCCAATCTGTTCACCTTGCTATGTGTCTCCTTGTCTACAGAAATACTCAATAAAGGCCATGACCCAGACCTGTCTGTTGCACCTGTGAGCCTCCCGTGGCCCACCTTGGCCAGCCATGTCTCTTGTTTCTAAGAGAGGTAAAGTAATGTTAATGTTTTCTTTTAGTGATATTCACTTGTCTGGGTTGTCATTCAGTCATCATTATAAATTAACACCCGGACACAAAATGAGTTTGTACTGTGAGGCACTGTGCCCCATGAAATGCACTGTGTAAAAAATCAGAATAGGGGTCAAATAAATTCAGGCTATTTTATAGAAGGTATCACCATTCAGAGATTTATTTTTATTTAAAATTATTCAAAAAATATTAATGTGGAATAGCTTACATACAGCAAAGCACACAGATCTTCGTTGGATGATTCAATGAATTTTTATCTATGTAACCACCTCCCAGACCAAAAATAAAATATATCCAGCTCTCCAGAAGGACTCTTATGCCTGTTCCTGGTTAATAATCCCTCCACAAGAGGTAATTACCACTCTGACTTCTATTATTATTGACACATTTTGCCAGGTTTGAACTTTTTATCAATGGAATCATTCAGAACATATCTTCCAAGCCTGCCTCCTTTCATTCAACATAATATCTATCAGATTAGCACATAGTGCATTTATCAAAAGTTTGTATTTTTTAATGGCTATGTAACATTTTATTGACCCACTCACTACTGATGGATATTTCTTGCTTACATTTGCGCCATTTATTGATGTACTGCCTCTCGGCTCGAAATTCTTGTTTTTTTTGACGACTCTGTGAAAATGGCTCTGGGCCCTCAGTGACTTCTCTGCTGTTAGTGGGCCAGGCTGTGCCCTTGTCATGGAGGTCTGCGTCTCAGGCTGGGGTTGGTGGACTTTCCTGGAGCTTTCATAAGCTAGAGGCAGTGCTGCTCCTTATTCCTGCTTTTCCTGTGTTCTTAGAGACTTCTTTACTTCCTGCTAATCACTCATCACTCAGATCCCATGGTAGAGGAACAATCCTTTATGTTAAACTTTCCCTTTGAATCACCGGACCCAGACGGAGGGGAATTTTTGGTTACTGTGTGCAGCAATGTGCTCTGCACATTCTTGGCCACACCTCATTTCTCTTGGGTACAAGCTCAGGTGTGGTTGGCGGGGTCAGAGCGTATCGTTCCCTGCAGCAGATACTGCCAAATAAATACGGCTTTCCAACATCCCACTTCCTTTTAGTCATCTCCATGGGTGGCACTGGTTTTATTTGTATTTCCCTCATGACTAATGATTCCTACCCTGGGTTTCAGCCTTTTGGATATCTTCTTCTGTGAAATATCTGTTCATAATTCATCTTTTAAGATTGTGGGGTTTTTTTGGTTTTGTTTTGTTTTTATGCTTTCTTTGTTTATACATAAAAGTTCTTGATATATTCTTGATATACTAGTCCTTTGTCAGATATGTGTATGACATATATTCTCCCTTTCTGTGGCTTGCTTCTGAAGTCTTTTGACAGTATTTTTTGAAGTTCCATTCATCATCCTTTTTTTCAGATCCAGGAGGCCCTCCCCTGTCTCCACACCCCTAGCCCCACTAAACTGCATTTGCAGACTGACTCTTTGGCTTTCTAGCTCTTGGGGATATGGACTTCCAATCCCTTTGTCATCAGGCCCTGTAGCCCTAGGTCAGGAGTCCTACCCACCTGGCCTGGGCAGGGAGGGACCCTCTGTTTAATGGAGTAAAGACAATGACTTCTGGGCTCCTGACAGACAGCCTTTCCCTGCCCTAAAGAGCTAGCTTTTAAGGCTAGCTTTGTGCTGTTACTTACTTGTTCTTCTGTAATTTAAATGTGCCTAGTCTAACCTACACACAGCCCTCTGGGGTGTTAGGTGGACATGCCCCTGGCCCTCTGGGTGCTCTGACCCAGAAGGGGCACAGTGACCCTGGCCTGGAGCTGATGTGACACCTGCAGAGGTGGGAAGCAGAGGAGAAGGGAGGGAGGGACCTGCCACCTTCTGGCTTGTCTTGATCTATAATTCATGCACACTGCTTATCTACTCCAGTTCCGAGGCTCTGTGTCTGTGTCTGTATTGCTCCTAGGTTGAAAGAGCAAAGCCTGGTACCCAGAATCTGCTAAATAAGCTGTTGCTCCATAACTGACTGGAAAGCCAGGTGACACAGGCTGGCCCAAGTGTGTTTTGAAGGTGGGGTTTCCATAGCAGAGATAGTTGCCTGTTCATGACTCTGTCCATGGAGCTGCTTTATGCTACGGGCTCCTGCCTTTTAGCCAAACTGTGAGGGACAGAACCTGGGGGATACATATTTCCTTTTCTAGAAACATGCTCTTCCAGGCTCTCTCCCTTATTGGTGCTAGGTGTCCTCCCCAAATCCCCTTCAGTAGGTCCTTATGGTACAACATATAGACTCAGTTGAAGGTGTAAATGGGGATATGAGGTGTAACTTCCTGGTCACACACTGGAGGTAGGAAGTGTGTTCTGATGGCACATGAAAATAAATGACCTCAGGAAGCATTGGCCAGTCAGACCTCGTGGGTGCCGTTTGGTGTCTAGTGAGAGACCCATGAAGTGAGTGAGCTGAGCTGAGCGTCCCTCCCTGGGGATTGAGGTCCATGCGAATGACCCTGAGAAAAGGTGCACTAGGGGAAAGAGGTGTTAAGGCTCACCAGTGAGGCCACCCACTGAAGAAGAGCAGACTTACCTGAGAAAGGAAGCAACATAGAGAAATATCATCCTTCTCTTGATTTGGTTTGTGCATTTCTTTTTTTTTAAATTTTATTTTCAGCATAACAGTATTCCTTGTTTTTGCACCACACCCAGTGCTCCATGCAATCCGTGCCCTCTCTAATACCCACCACCCGGTTCCCCCAACCTCCCCCGCCCCAGCTTCAAACCCCTCAGATTGTTTTTCAGAGTCCATAGTCTCTCAAGAAATTAAAAATAGAGCTTCCCTATGACCCTGCAATTGCACTACTCAGTATTTACCCCAAAGATACAGATGTAGTGAAAAGAAGGGCCTTCTGTACCCCAATGTTTATAGCAGCAATGGCCACGGTTGCCAAACTGTGGAAAGAACCAAGATGCCCTTCAACGGACGAATGGATAAGGAATATGTGGTCCATATACACTATGGAGTATTATGCCTCCATCAGAAAGGATGAATACCCAACTTTTGTAGCAACATGGACGGGACTGGAAGAGATTATGCTGAGTGAAATAAGTCAAGCAGAGAGAGTCAATTATCATATGGTTTCACTTATTTGTGGAGCATAACAAAGAGCATGGAGGACAAGGGGAGATGGAGAGAAGGGAGTTGAGGGAAATTGGAAGGGGAGGTGAACCATGAGAGACTATGGACTCTGAAAAACAATCTCTTTTTAAAATGTGCTGTGGGGGGGAAATGCAATTTGGTTCCCCTTACCCCTTCTTCAGCCAGAGTAAACTACACATCCTACCCCTGCAAAGAACTATTCTCAGAAAGATGATGGATGCCTGGGTGGCTCCATCAGCGGAGCGTCTGCCTTCGCTCAGGTCATGGTCTCGGGGTCCTGGGATTGAGTCCTGCATTGGGATGCTTGTTCTTCAAGGAGCCTGCTTCTCCCTCTCCCTCTGCTACTCCCTCTGCTTGTGCTCTCTCACTCTCTCTGTCAAATAAATAAATAAATAAATAAAATCTTAAAAAAAAAAAAAAAAGGAAATAGAATTCTCAGCATCCTGCCAGCCACGGCTCAGAAACGTTCTTGCCATCCATTTGCCTCCCACAGTGATTTCTCTGAACTGCGTGGGGCCTCCAGCTGAACAAAACCTCCTTGGGGCCATGAAGGACAGGAGCCAGACTAAGTCGGCCTCCAGAGAGTTAGCTGGTTCTGGAAGTTTCCATCACTATTCCATATCTTTTATGGAGAAGGTATTTGGAACAGAATTTTAACTGAATGAAATTTCAAGGTCCTATTTTGCCATGAAAATAAGTGACCCTTTCTTCCTTCCTCTTGGGTTTTTTGTTTGTTTGTTTTTGTTTTTGTGTGTGTGTGGTTTTTTTTTTTTTTTTTTTTTTTTTTGTCTTGCTGGTCCCTCTGAGCTCACCCAGGATGATATTTTGAAGACAGGGACACTGAGTTGAGAACTGATGGATCTCTTACCCATGTCAAATTCTGTAAACATTAGCCATGGGCTGTTAGGTAGGAAGGTCACTTGTTAGCATGAGACATTGGACTGAAGCTGACTTATGGGTCCCCTGGGTCCCCTTCCAGAGCTCTGGGCACTATCTTAGTGCATCAGGTTCAATAGGCTTCTTGGAAATTCGCGTGCTCTTATTGTTGTCTATAGGGGCACCGTGTGTGAAATCTGTCTTGATCTCCTTCACTTAGCAGAAGAGAAGAGTGGGGCTGGAGTCGGGCCCAAATGATCCTTAAGGTCACCTGGGTAGGTGGTGAGGTGGGTATGCAACGTGCTGGCATGGCCTATGGGGAGGAGCTCTGATGAGCTGTGGATGATTTGAGTGGTGCTATTCTTTTTGTTTTTTCGTTACAGTGACTCTGGAGGAAGGGAATCATCGTTTTGGGTAAACGAAGTGAGTCCAGAACTGGACAGGGCCCAACGGCATTCGCTCGCAGCTCTTTGACAACTTTCCTCTCGGAATCTACCCTGTAGTTTAGCTTTCCAACCAGAGGGTCATCAGAGCCAGAAGAAAGTGAGTTATTTGTTTTCTTAATGTTATAACATTGACATGGGTGCTCCTGGATTTGGTGAGAATTTGCTGAGAATAACAGAGGTGTGTGGGCACAAGAAGAAAGAATCAGGAGATTTAAAGAAGTAACCCCTAAAATAGAATAAGTACCTCTAGTAGGGATGGATTCCAAGATACAGTGTTCCTGTCTTATCCGAGCTTCTGTATTCTGAGGTTTCGGTCACCTGTGGTCCACTGTGGTCCAGAAGCAGATGGTCCCCATTTGGACCTGTTGTCAGAAGATTGGTAGTAGCCCAGTGCGACATCACACGCCTGCGTCACACACCTCACCTCATCTCATCACGTGGGCATTTCATCATCTCACATCATCACAAGAAGGGTGAGTACAGTGCGGTAAGGTATTTTGAGAGAGAGACCACATTCACATAACTTGCATTATAGTTTGTTGTTATTGTCCTATTTTATTATTAGTTATTGTTGTGAATTTCTTACTGTGACTGATTTAAAAACTAGAAGTTACAAGGATGTATGTAGGGTTCAGTACTGTGGTTGGCTTCCGGCATCTGCTGGGGATCTTGGAACTTATTCCCACAAATAAGGGGGATGAGTGTAGTTGTGTAGATCAGAACATTGGTCTTACTTCTTTCTGGATGCGATAAAATGGTTCTTGATTCAATTAGAGAAGAATGCAAACAGTTCATGCCTTTACATCCAGAACATGTGGTTTTCTGTCTTGCAGGCTCTCTAGCTGGACTTCATTATGAAGTCAGGGATGGACAGAGCTGGAAGGACCTCATGGGAGATCTGGTCCCATATTTTAGAGGGGAATCTGAGAATCCCACAGGTGAAGGGTGGGCTGGCCTGGAGCCCCGTGCTCTGATCACACACTGTTGGGAGTCCATGCTCACTGTTGGACCCCCGCTCTCAGCTCTGTGTGCTGTGAGACCCCAGAGTCTCTGGCACATGAGCTGTGAGATATGAGTGTCTTCCCCTCCATAAGCCTCTCTGGGGCAAAGCTAGACATGCTCCCCTTCTCCTGAGGTCTGACCATTCCACCTTGTTCCTTCCAGATGGCTTACACGAAGATGTGCCTGCTCTACATTTCCCTGGTGGTCCTGGGAGCCCTCTGTTTGTATTTTAGCATGTACAGTCTGACTCCTTTTAAAGATGAGCCATTTGTTTTCAAGAAAGAAATGGGGAACTTCCTCCAGCTTCCAGATATCAATTGCAAGCAGGATCCCCCTTTCCTTGTCCTGCTGGTGACATCCTCCCATGAACAGATGTTTGCTCGCACGGTCATCCGGAACACGTGGGGGAAAGAAAAGAATGTGAATGGAAAACACATAAAAACCTTCTTCCTTCTGGGAGTCACAGCCAGTAAGGACCTGTCGAAAGTTGTTGCGCAGGAAAGCCAGCGGCATCACGACATTATCCAGAAGGACTTCATGGACACCTACTTCAACCTGACCCTGAAGACCATGATGGGTATCGAGTGGATCCACCACTTCTGTCCTCAGGCGGCTTTCGTGATGAAAACGGACTCGGACATGTTTGTCAACATCTACTACCTGACCGAGCTGCTCCTCAGGAAAAATAGAACCACTCGGTTTTTCACCGGCTTCTTGAAACTGAACGAGTTTCCGATTAGGGACAAGTTCAGCAAGTGGTTTGTCAGTAAATACGAGTATCCGTGGGAGAAGTACCCGCCCTTTTGCTCGGGCACTGGCTACGTGTTTTCCAGCGATGTGGCGAGTCTGGTGTACGAAGTGTCCGACAGCGTCCCGTTCATTAAACTCGAAGACGTCTTCATGGGGCTCTGCCTGGCGAAACTGAAAATTGGGCTGGAGGAACTCCACTCTGAGCAGACCTTTTTCCCAGACGGGTTGGCCTTTTCCACGTGTCGTTTTAAGAAGATAGTGGCCTGCCATTTCGTCAAGCCTCGCAACATGCTCAGCTATTGGCATGCTCTGGAAAATTCCCTGGAAGACGAGTGTCCAGCTGTCTGAGGGGAGCCCAGGGGCCCACGTGGACACACTTGAGGCAACCCACCCTGAGAGTGTCGGAAGATCTTCAGGCGGCATCGCTGAGGATCATTGTGCGGGCAGGGAGGGAGTGAGGAGGGAGGAGGGGGAGTCAGGTGAGGGTGATTCCCTGTAGGGCTGCCCGTCTAGCGGAGTCTGTAAGCCTGAGTGAAACCACTTGGTGCCCAAGCAATAACAGATGCCATCTCTTGAGTCCCTACACCTCTGCGCTGAGTGTCTGACGCACGCCTCCATTTTCCCATTTCCAGGATCAGTGTCTCTGTGTCACGGTGGGTGGTAGCATCCCCCTCTTACATACCAGGCAACAGCAGCTTACAGAAACACAGGGCCTCGTCCCACGTCTCCCAGCTAACAAATTCTGGGGTAGTGATGGAAATCCAGTGCTGTAAGAACCCAGGCACAGCCCCTGGCTCGAGCCCACCCTTCAGTCCTGCCTCCTTTGGCAGGGAGTGGAGGCCAGGAGGGCTCAGAAGCAGGCCTGATGGTGGTCCCTTTGGTCCCTTTCAAGAGTCCCATCCGCTTTAGCTCCCAGGCCTTGAGCTTTCAGGGCCGTCCCTGGGGAAATCTGCATAGCTTCACTCACTGCATTGGACACAATCGGGACGCTGAGTCCCTGTGAGCACTCGGCATTCAGCTCACGGCAGAGCAAGCCCTTTCCCAGCCATCGCCCCTAAGAAATGGCCACCTTGAGGCAGGAACCGTGGTTATAGCTTTGGTTTCAAAATAACTGCGAAGCCTGGCCTGTTGATCAGACTTCTTGGCCAGCGTCCCCAAAGGTACTGTGTGAGCTCACTGAAAGGAACTCTGGTCAAGGGGGGTTCTCTTCCTGTGCCTGCTTTTCACGCCTGGCCCAAGCTCATCTTTTTGGAGTTTCTCAGATGGCCAGGGAAGAACTGAGTTTGTGGAATGGAGGTTGACCTTCTATTGCCTTTGGCTCAGAGGTTTGTAGGAGCCTGTTCTGTATTCAGGCTGTGGAGGCGAGACCCTGCTTGGCTGGGGTACTCATCCATCCAGCTGCTGTGGAATTAGATGCAAATTTGCCTTGCTCCTGGTTCTAGGAATGATTCGAACTTATTTTTTACTTTACCTGCCTTGACTTTACCAGCACACACAGTGAAGGCCTTACATGCCTGGGTAACCCACAGATGCCAGTCTAAGCTCCTACCTGTGCCCAGGAAGAGGTATTTGCTGCTAAATGCCTGTGGCCACATTGACTTCAACAGCATTTCTCGTATCTGCTACTTCTCTGCAGATGTGTTTCCTTATCCTGGCTGCTCGCACGTGCTGGGCCATGTTCAGAAAACCTTCCTTCCTAGCTGGGACAGTCAGGGACTGAGCTTACTGTTGGAAGCCCAGATTTTGCTGGAGCCCTGGTCCTGCAGGAGGGCTGTCCCCTGATTCGGTAGATAATGGTGGTAGGGGGTGTTGAGGGTGAAGGATCTCATCCGGGAGCAGGGCTGGGTCTATGCCTAGATGTCCAGCCCTTGTGGGTGGGTGTCCGTGTGGCCACTGGGCTCTGTGGGCGAGGTGTGGGGGACTCAGGATCGGGCCTTCTCATCAGCCTGTAGTTCAGTCATAGGGGCCATGCACACAGGTGTGGGTCTGCCACCCGAGCGGGTTCTTGGGTCCAACAACTATAGAAGTGAGACAGGATCCAAAAGTCTAAGGCATAGGCAGCATTCTATTGGACAAAGGTCCCACCAGTGTTCCCACTCCTGTCTCTTAAGCTAAGGGATGGAAAAGTGCCTTGTCCCAGTTGGTGGATGTGAGCAGGCAACCCAGCAGCTCATGGTGTTTTTGGAGCCGTGGTCTTTCAGGTTGATGGTGCCTCCTTTGTTCCTGCCTCAACAGGATATGGCCCTGGCTGTTGTTTGAAGTCCGGCTGGTGTGGGGTTGGACCCTGGTTCTTCTCTGTAAGAAAATCAGTTCAGGAGGAACAGCCGACTGGAAGTGCCCCACTTGCATGTTTTTCATTAGAGTCTTATTCCTATGGTCCTTGACTGCCTTATGTTCCCCCCAGAGACATTTCATCCACCTGATGCTTATGGGGAACGTGGATGGAGGTCTCATCTCCTGTGTCTACATCCTGCTGATCAAGGACGTAGATGCTGCCTCTCATTGGAGGTCATGGCAATGTCTCGCCCTCTGATCTAACTCAGCTGTGGGAACGTGGTCCCCAGCGGATATGGGCTGAATCCCTGTGTGAGTGTCAGCTGGATCTGGGGCTGTTGTCATCTCGAGGACACAAATTTGACAAGTAAATTAAAGAAACATGGTCCAAATAGAAACAGCAGTGAAATGGCTACTAAGGTCATGAGGAAAGGCAAGAACCAGGTAACACTTGGCAGGTACCCCTTGATGGAGTCCCAGATGGTTTGAACGTGGGGGTCTTAAAATGATGCAGCCAGGAGGCCTTTTGGAGGATGATGTCAGCCCTTTGTTCTCTTCTCCAGAAACATGAATGTAGAAACAACAAGATGGGTTTGTAATAGTACATACTCGCCCTGGTCCAGCCAGTAAGAGTCTGAGGCTAACTGGTGATCTAAAACCATGGAAGCCAGAGTCTCATGATCTTAAGAAAAGCTCAAACTCCTGTCCGGTTTCAGCCCCAACCATGGTCACAGGGGCTGTGACATTTTGTGTGGCAGCATCATTGTACATTATTCTCCTGCCTGGTCCTATCATGGATCCAAACCAGGGGAATCCTCTGGCGATCAGCAGTCCTACGGCTCCCCTGGACCTTTGTGGTGATAGCTGAGTGTTAGAAGGGTTATTGGCAGGGGAAGGTGCTGCATGTCTCACAGCCCAGTCGCCACTAGTATTACTGGTATCAATACTAGTGTCCCCTTCCCATCTGCCATTTCTAGGAAGACCGTTCCTTTAGCTAGACCAAGAAGCCCTGGGGAGGGAGCGGTGGGCACTGAGGGGGCGAGTGGTGGTGAGGTGTCCACAGGGAGCACTTGTCATTATCCAGGTCTCCTTCATCAGCACTACCATACACCTGTGGCCCTGTGTGACAGTCTGGGGAACCAGGACACCAAGGTCATATGTTCTAGATCATATGTCATGTTGGAGCTATGGAGGGTATTGCTGCATATAAAGGGGGGCAGGACTGTGGGTGGGGTTAACCACACTTTTTGGGGGGCAGCTGCATGAAATGGTACTAAGTATGAGGGCTCCTTTGGCAGTCAGATTATCGGTGGAGGGCCCAAAAGGATCACAAGAATGGTCATGTGGGGGCGGCCTGGGATCTACCTTGGTATACCGGTGATGGCTGATCGATGGAAACATGTTGTAATCAGGTCAGTGGGCATTGGGTGGATGCAGAGGACGGGGTTTGTGTGAGGTTTGGTTCTGTAAATGGGGTGGGCTTGGAACAGGGACCACTCTGCAGTCTTGCCCCACCGAACATCTTTATGTGCCTCTCCATGGACTTGTTCATGACATACCCAGTGGTCTGATAAGTTTCTAGTGTGGTCTGAGACAGTGTTTTTACAGTGTTTTAGTAATTTGGAGCAAAGAATTTTCTTCCCCTTTCCCCATGTTTTACTTACACCCTATTATGATCAGGGAAGACATAAGCACCAGGACAAGAAGGGATATGGTTAGATTTATTTTTCCTTCACCTAGCAGGGACAAAAGAGGATGAAAGGACAAGAGAACAGACCCAGAGCCATCCCAGGAAATGTTAGACTTAACTGGACTCCTTATCCAGCAGGGGCAAACCAGGTGCTTTACAGGGAGTAGGGCTGCTCCAAGCAGCAAGATTATGGGAGACACAGATGTAAGACAAGAAGGTGTTGGGGACAGTGGTCCACCATGTTCCTTACCTGTTTGCAATGATGACTGTCTTTTTTTTTTTTTTTTAAAGATTTATTTATCTATATGAGAGAAAGAGAGAGAAAGAGAGAATGAGCATGAGGGGCAGAGGGAGACGGAGAGGGAATCCCAAGCAGACTTCGCACAGAATGCAGAGCCCTGTGCAAGGCTTGATCTCACAACCCTGAGATCATGACCTGAGCCGAAACCAAGAGTTGGACACTCAACTGACTGAGTCCCTCCCCACCAAGGCGCCCAATGTCTGTCTTTTGAACAGGTATTTCCAAGCTTTCATTGGTTCCCAGGTGTAGGTGTGGTTGGCTGGTGGGTCCTGTAGAAGTTTTGGGCGGGGGATGGACAAGTTTAATCCTGGTGAGATGGACCCGCCAAGGTACTCCTTCCAGCTCTGTGATGGTGGGAGCCGCCAGAATTCCCCAGTTGGGTCCTTTTCATTTGGGTCGGAGTTGGTCCTTTGTGATCCCTCTTTCCATGTCCTAAGCCCTGCTTGTCCCCAGGGCCCAACCTTTGGTTTGGGGGAACAGAGGGATCTGCATGGGATCTGGCAGGATTTTATTGCCACATTGTTGTAGGGCCTGTTGAGTTTTGCTTCAGTTACCCTGGTGGGGAAAGAGGCCCCGCTGTCGCTCTGAAGGGACTTGGGCAGCCCCAGATCTTAGAATGATTTCTTTTAGAAGACATTTGCACACCTCAGTAGCCTTCTCTGTCCTTGAACAGAAAGCCTCTATCCAACCGGTAAAAATGTTTCCAGACACAGGAAGATGTTTACAACCAGCCTTGGGAGGCATCTGAGTAAAATTAGTGCCCGCGCCCTCAGAGCTTGTCTGCCGGGGACCCAGGTTCCAGCTCCAGCTGTGTTCCTGATGCCATCTTGCCTGACCACAAGGCATGCTTCACTCACCACAGGGCCTTTGTACTGGTTATTCCCTTTGCCAGGATTACTCTTCCCTCAGAGTGTCTCATGGCTTACTCCTTTGCCTCCTTCAAGCCTTTGGTCAGATATCACTTTCTTGGTGAGGTTTACCTTACCCCTTCCCATGGCCCCTTACCTTGTGCTATTATAATATCTTTCATTTATTATTTTATTTCAACCCACTTTAATGAGAACTCTGTGCAGGCATGGATCTTTGTTTCCTTCATTGATGTACCTTAAATCTTTTTTAAAAAATTAATTTAATCTTATTTTTTCAGAGTTCCAAGATTCATTGTTTATGCACTACACTCAGTGCTCCATGCAATCCATGTCCTCCTTAATACCCACCACCAGGCTCACCCAACCCCCCACCCCT